GCCAACGGCCAGAGACGCCAACGATACGACCATGATTGGCGGCGCCGGCGAGGGCGACAGCGACGACGACGACGAGCACGACGACGACGAGGACGACGACAAAGACGACGGACACACTCTTTTCTCCCCCTCGCGCGCGCGCACCACCGTGGCGTGTGCGGACGCACCGAGCCACAGGCCGCGAGCGCGAGGCGGGGTTACCCTACGAGGCGAGCGACGCCCCCCTGCAGGTCCTCCTCCTCCTCCTCCTCCTCCTCCTCCTCCTCCTCCTCCTCCTCGTCCTCCTCCTCCTCCTCCTCCTCCTCCTCCTCACGCGGCGGCTCCTGATCAATCTCCTCGAACTCCTCCTACTTTTACTCCTTGCCTCCCCCCCATCCACCTCATCCACCTCCCCGACGTCCTCGACTTCCGCCTCCTCGACTCTTCCTCGTCCACGTCCTCGTCCTCCTCCTCCCCCTCCTCGTCCTCCTCCTCCTCCTCCTCCTCCTCCTCCTCACCACCACCAACAACAACAATAACAACAACATCACCACCACCAACAACAAGAGCAACAACAAGAGCAACAAAAACAACACCAACAACAACAACAGCAGCAACACCAACACTAACACTAACACGAACACTAACAATAGCAACAGCAACACCAACAACAACAACAACAACATCATCAACAACAGGATCAACAACAACAACAACCATAACAACAACAACAGCAATAACAACCACAACAACAACAGCAACATCAACAACATCAACAACAGCAACAACAACAGCAACACCAACATCAACAATAACAACAACATCAACAACAACAACACCATCAACAACAACAACAACGAACGGCAGGACGAAGGCGCGAGGGGAGGAGGGCCATGTAGAGGATGTAAGGGAAAGGGGGGCGAGGAGGAAGCGGAGATGAAGGAACAAAGGCAACGGTGAGGATTTCGATGTAGATGGTAACGTAGCCAGGAGGATAAAGAGGAGGCGCGGGCGGAGAGCAAAAGCAAGACAACAGGAGGAGGAGGAGGAGAAAGGCTGAGAGAAGAAATCTGTCATCCCCCTCCGGGTGTGAGCACTTTGTTACCGGACACCCGGTACGCCGTCAGAGACGGCGGCGAGCCTGCGGAGGGCTCGCGAGATGAGCGATCTTCCCACTACTACACTGCTGCTTTCTGCTCCTGGTCTGATCTTCCTCAGCCTTCTCTCCCTCCTCCACCTCCTCACTTCCTCCTCTTATTACGATGCTTTTCCACCTCCTCGACCTCCTCACCCTCCTTAGCTTTCTGTCTCCTTCTTCTCTTCCTCGCCTTTCTGGCCACCTCCTCAGCCTCCTCACTGTCCCCTTCCTCTTCCTCCTCATTCTCTCCCTCCTCCTCCTCAGCGAAGACGGTTCTCGTCCTCCTGGGCCTCCTTGCCTGCTCTCCCTCGGCGTCCGTGCGGCGATGTCTCTGATGCAGGATGCATTGCCGGACGCTGGCCATGTAGTGGATCCGCTGTTTGAACTCCTCCACCTCCCTCTTGCCGCGAAGCAGCCTGGTTGGCCAGACCGGCCACTCCGGGTTCGGCGGGATCGCCACGAACCTCCTCCACTGCGCAAACCTCGGGCATCTCCAGAAGGTGTGCGCTGCGTCGTCGTCCTCGTCCAAGTCGCAGCCGAGGCACTTGGGTATCGGAAGCCCCTTGATCTTAGCCAGTCTCGCATTGCTGAAGAACGCGCCCGTGAGGATCGCGATCTCGTGGTCTGACGCCTTCATCAGCTCCAGCGCCGCACGGATAGCCCGTGGGCAATAGGGCGCCTGCGCGTGCCGTCCGGCAGCGCTGTCCCGCCGCGTGCGACTGCCCAGGAATGTTGCCCACAGCCTCTTTCGCCATACCTCACGAATGAGGTGGTCCCTGGCGTCTTTGGGGCAGGTCAGGGAGATCTCGGCCCCATCTGCCTCCGGAGGCGCTTTCCAGATCACGTGGTCCTGGTCATCCAACATCATGAGAAATCCCAGCTTTCTCATCGCCGCGTCCACGGCCTGCATGACCCCGGCGGTCCTTTTGCTGTCATCCCCCTCCCCCCCAGCCCCACGTACGCGGCAGACGTGTGCTCAACCTTGGGAAGGCGCCCCCGTGCGAAACGAAACTTGAAGCGCCGCCCGTTGGCAGGAAGGAGGCCACCCCCTCTGCGGGACAGGGACCACTGCTCAGGAGGTCCTGGCTACACCAGCCGGCAAAAGGAGCAGCTTCGCATAGGCAGCCGGTAGCTACACGCCCATCTTCGCATGCTAGCCGAGCACCTCAAAGCTGGTACTGGAGGAAGGATGGAGCATCTCATCCCTGTCATCTAGATTGCCGCGGCCCCGACCTCATGGAGGCGGTGCCCTCTTGCTGCTATCTCCTCCTCCCCCGTGTCAGTCGATTTTGATCAGCGCGAGTACCAAAAAGGCCCACGCCACCTGCACCCCGTCCTGCCCCCCCCCCCCCCCCCCGCATCTCTCTTCCCCCCCGTTTGCTCCCTCTCCTCCCCCCATCTTTCCTCCCCTGCTTCTACCTGACTGGAACACCTAAAGAAATAATTCGCCATCCTCGATGAGTTCGGTCCGGGAACGCAAGGAGGATAGGGAGCTGAGAGTCCTCGCCATCCGATCGCACCTCCATTAAGGCCATTCAGCAAACTCCTCGCGCCGCCACAACTCGTGGTCAAACTGATCCTCGATGGTGGTAGACACCCGGGGCTCCCGATTCACAATGGCATGGCACCCCCACTGTCGGAACTGGACCTGGAAGACGGTCCAGGAGACATAGTGAATCAGCTCATTGTGCCCTCCCAGGGCTGCAGCAACACTCCTGGTTAGCGTCTTGGCCACCATGTGAGATGTTGCGCGCAGCTCGGCACATAGTTTGCCCAGACATTGCCGAAACAGTTTTCCAGTTCTCGAAGCTGGTCATATGGAGGTGCTCCAGTCGCCGATGGGCTCGGGTGCTCCGCACTTCTCGCAGGCATTGAAGGTGTTGCCAGAACTGTCCCACCCACATCCGCTCATGAACTGGGCCCACAGGCCTCTGAGGACGAGCAACAACAGGTGCACGCTCAACTCGGCTGAGGTCTGTCCGAGGCCCCACACACACAGTGACTAAGTTCGTGACCGCCTTGAATGCATTGATCGTAAAAGACAGGTTTCGGGTTCAGAAGGGCTCCTTCTTTGGTAGCATCGTCCGCAGCATTGTTGCCAACAATATGCGCACGCTCGCTGGCTGGCATGGGGGCGTCGTCCTCCCAATGTGCCTTCAGCGGCAGGAGGGCGAGGAGAAGAGGCGTCGAGGTGGGGGATGCAGACGACGAAGAGGACGAGACGGAACCAAGGTCGTCGTCGTCCTCATTATCGTCGCTCCGTCGTGTCCCCCTCGTCCTTCTCATCGTCCTCATCATTCTCGATCTGGTGCTGATCCTCCTCACCCGTCCTCGTCGTCGTCCGTGACCTCCTCGTCCGCGTCCTCGTCTCCTTCCTTGCCCCCCGTCCTGGCCCTCGTCCTGGCCCTCGTCATCGTCCCTCGCCGTTGTCCCTTCTCTCCGCATATCCGTGCTTCCCCTCCCTCGCTAAGCCATCATCATCTTCATCATCATCATCATCATCATCATCATCATCAACATCAGCATCAGCATCATCATCAGGATCAGCATCATCAGCATCAGCATCATGATCATAATCATCGTCATCATCAGCAGCAGCATCATCGTCATCGTCATCATACTCAGTTTCATCCTCATCCTCATCAACTTCATCTCCAGTAACATCAGAATCACCAGCATCTGCATCATCATCATCATCATCATCATCATCATCATCACAGGACTCGTCATCCTCCTCATGCTTATCCATATCCTCAACATACGTATCGTCACCGTCATCATCACCAAAAGTATCATCATTATTATCAGAATCACCGTCATCAGCATCGCCGTCATTACCACAACCGCAATATCAGAATTGTCATCGGCATCACCAGCGCAGCCATCCCCATCATCAGCATCATAATCATCATCATATTCACCACCATCATCATCATCACCATCATCAACACAAGCATCATCAACATCAGCATCATTCGAATCATCAGCATCATCATCAGCAGCAGCATCCCCAACATCATCATCATCAGCACCAGCATCACCATCATCATCATCATCAGCATCATGAGCACCACCATCATCATCATCAGCATCATCATAAGCATCATCATCACAGGCTTCATCATCAACATCATCACAATCATCATCAGCATCATCAACATCATCACCACCACCAGCACCATCACCAGCACCACCGCCAACATCATCATCATCATCACCAGCATCGCCAACATCATCATGCTCAGTCACATCCACAATATCAACAAGATCATCATAATCGCCATCATCATAATCATCACATCATCATCATCATCATCATCAGCATCATCAAAATCATCACCACCATCATCACCACCACCATCACCGCACCACCGCCACCATCATCACCAGCATCGCCATTTCACCATCATGATCATTCACATCATCATCATCACCACCACCAGCATCATTAACAGCATCAGCATGAGCATCACCACCATCATTGATTATCATCACTTCCACCACAACTATCATCATCATCATCACCATCATTAATTATCAACGTCATCATCCTCATCATCATCAAAATCATCACCACCACCAACACCATCACCATCAGCAGCAGCATCATACTCATCGTTCTCGTAATCGTCGTCGTCATCAGCATCAGCATCAGCATCAGCATCAGCAGCAGCATCATCATCAGCATCATCAGCATCATCATCAGCACCATCATCATCATCATCATCATCATCATTATCATCATCATCATCATTAAGTCATCAACAGCAACAGCATCATCATCATCATCATCATCATCATCATCATCAGCATCATCATCATCGTCATCCTCATCATCATCCTCATCATATCATCGTCATTCCGCTCCCTCTCCCCTCTTCCCCCCCACACGCACCGATTGTTCCTCCCCTCCCTGTCGGCGGGGACCCAGCCGCTCAGTACGGCGCGGCCCGGGGCTTTGCTGTCGCCTGGCGGGGGTGGCTCGGTCGAAGGGGAGGTGGCAAGCGGAGGAAAGGTGTGAAAAGGAGGGAGGGGCCCAAGGATTCGACGTCGTGTTTTGCGAGACCGTGCCCAGAGGTCTCCAGGGCCCCCCTCGAGGCCCATGGAGGTCTCAAGAAGGCCCCTGTAGCCATCTGGAGACCTACGAGGCCCAGGAATCGCTGAAAACATCCCAAGCGTCGAACCTCGATTCTCGAACCTCGATGATCTATCCCCGACCCTCCATACCGGGGTCCTCGATCCTCGATCCTTGACCTTCGATCAGCGAACCTCCATTCTTCATTCTAGCTCCTTTGTGGCATGCAACTCCGCGCAGGCCTGACCCCGGCCACGTCTTCACGGGGGGCAACGAGGTCAGCAAAACAAGGAAAAAAGCGCCTGCTTGCAGAGGCGGACCGGAACCTGCGCCCAAGATTACTCCAGGGCCACGACGGCTACGACGACCACGACAGCCAACACAAATTCCGAATCGCTCCCCAGGTCCTCCTGTGGTCCGCCATGGCCAGTTTCTCGAGCCACCTCCAGCCGCGGTGACGAGAACCTCCAGAACTGCCCCCAACAAATGAGACGACGACGACGACGGCGGCGGAGACGACGACGACGACCACCACGTCATGATTGTTTTACAACGTGAATAATGTCATCGCGCGCTTCTGAGTAGTTCTTTGGCTGTCCTGGGCCCTCGGAGGCCGACAACGACGATGACGGCACCCCCTACGTCATGATTGTTTCACAGCGTGAGAAGTCTCATCACGAATGTGTGTCTCCTTCTTAGACTGTCCCCGGGGCCCAGCCCTTGAAGGCCCAAAACGACGAAACACCTTCCGCCATGACTCCTGCAAGTCTGCAGGGGGCCTGGGCGACTCTCGGGTCGGGCGAAAGGGGGGGATAGCAAAGGGGGGGTTTGAGAATCAGCTCACGTAGCTGATTTTCCCGGCGCCTCCCGGCGCCGGATGGAGCTATGTATCGAGGAATGGGCCCCTCGGTGAGGCCGAAACCAGCTGCATGCAGCAGATTTCGTAACCCCCCCTTTCCCAATCCCCCCCTTTCGCCCGACCCGAGACTCCCGGCGACGGCGACGGCGACGACGACAGTGGCGCCGGGGGGGGGGGGGCCTTGCGCACGGGGCCGCCCGCCTTCGCCGGCGCAGCCTCGGCGCGGGCCGGTGCGCGCGGCCGCGGCTGACAGAGGCACGATCGCCACCGCTCCTCCGCGCATCCGCCTCCACCAGCTCCTCCCCTGAGATCCGACGTCGCAGCAAAAATTGAAACACCGTAGACAACCACGACCGGAGCCCTGGACCCTATCTGTCTGCGCCATGTCTCGACCCGCATCGATCTGTGCTGGCCCTGGGGGGCCCGAAACCCGGCGAGAACGCCCGGCTCGAAAAATTTGAGACGCCGAAGCCTCCTCGTTGGTGAGGCTTCGGGCTACGCACAGACGGCCCCCACAGGTGGTCCTGGCTAGCCCTCCTCGTCCTCGTGACTCTCCTCTCCCTCGTCGCGGTCGTCGTTCCTGTCCCCCTCCTCCTCCTCCGCATCATCCTCCTCCTCCTCCTCCTCCTGCTCCTCCTCCTCCTCCTTCCTCGTCTCCTCGCCCGCACGATCGCACGATTCTCTAGCGCCTTTACGTAGTCTTCGGTTCAAAACTCGGCTCTCCGGCGGCCGTTCGGGACGATCTGGGCGGCCCGGAGCGCCCTTGGCGAGGCGCAGCTGCTGGAACGCATCCCGAGGCTGTCCTCCTCCGAGAGACGATAAAACTTAGGTCGGCCGTGTCCTCCTACAGGCGGATTTTGGACGAAAAATGAAACACGTGCCTGTGCAACATAAAAGAAAGGCCAACATAGTCATAACAAAATCGTCCCCACACCATGTTGTTCAACTACATTTGACTGCTCCTCCTGTAGAGGGACATGTCCGAGGTAAGATCAAGGGTCCGAAAACTCGGGGGTCCTCTGACCCGGGTCAATCCAGACCCGGGTCAGTCAGGCCTTGCAGAATCCTGCAAAATCCTGCAAGATCCTGCACCCAAACCCGGGTCAATGCGAAGGATCCTGCAAAATCCTGCAGGATCCTGCACCCAAACCCGGGTCAATGCGGCCCTGGCCCTGCAGGATCCTGCAAGGTCGGGGCGCTCTGGCTGACCCCCGTTTGCATTGACCCCCGTCTCGAGGCTCCCGAAAAACCTCGAGCCTCGCACCTCCGGGCCCCCCGCCTTCTCGTCCTTGGCGGCGGCGGGCGCCGGCGCGGACCGCTCCGTGGCGCGGACCTTGATGACCTGCGGGCGGCGAGCGGGGCCGCGAGCGGGCCCCTGCGCGGCGAGGGCCCGGGCGGCGCGGAGCTCCGACGCTCCGGCTCCGAGATGCTTCGGGGGATCTTCTGACCCGGGTCAATCCAGACCCGGGTCCGCAGGAAACCGAGAAACTGCAATGCACTAGGGCTCCCAACTTCGCGCTTCGCGCTCCGCGAAGCGCGAAGCGCGAATAACTTCGCGCCCTCGCGCCGCCCCCCCAAAGGGAGAAAAGGAGGACGAGGAGGAGGGGGAGAAGGAACGAGGACCGCGAAGCGCGAATAGCTTCGCGCCCTCGTGGGAGCCCTTGAATGCAGGGAAAAACAAAAAAAAACAAACTGCAGCGCAGGTCTTCGCAGACCCGGGTCAGCCAATATGCGCGGCCGCCTCGCGGCCACGAGCGGCACGCTAACCTGGGTCAGCCAGAGGGGGTCTTCGCAGGATCCTGCAGGATCCGGTGCCCTGGCTGGCCCCCGTTTGCATTGACCCCAGACTCCAGGCTCCCGAATGTTTGAGCATGGCCGCCGCCCGGGGGCTCCTCTCTCGCTGCCTCTCCTCGCTCCGTGTCTCCGTATCTCGCTCTCTCTCTTGCTCTGCCTCTGTGTCGTCCCTCTCGCTCTTTCTCTCTCTCTCTCTCTCTCTCTCTTTCTCTCTGCCTTTGTGTTGTCCCTCTCGCTCTTTGTCTCTCTCGCTCCCTCTCTCGCTCCCTCTCTCGCTCCCTCTTTTTGAATTTCTCTCTCTCTCTCTCTCTTGCTCTATCCTCTCTCTCTCTCTCTCCCTCTCCCTCGAAAGGTGTGCCCCGTTCGCTCCTCCACCCCTTGTACACAGCCAGCTCCTCCTCTCACGCCTCCTCCTGCGTTTGCTCCACCTCGTCCTCCTCGGAGCACATCCCATTCCTGGAGAGCCGACAATCCCACCCTCAGAATAAGCACCCCGACAAGCGAAGCCGCTTAAGTAAACGCACACGAGGAAGGAATCGAACAGGGCAAGGCTGTCCAGTAAAGGCCCAGGGCCGTGTAGTGAACGCAAATTATCGGGGTCGGGGTGATTCTTCCTCCCTTGAAAAAACCTCATAGCAAACTCTCCCCTGTCGCATCCCCAGGTGTGTCCGTAGGGCGATTCGCCTCAGACTTCCGCATTACTTCTGACCAGGAGTCGTGAAAGTCGGGACGCCTGCAAGGATAGAGGGGGGCCTTTTTAGATTGGATCTCTCGCCTTAGCGTCGCGAATATTCGTCTTAAGATTGTAAGGAACTGCATGGTTTGAGGGGGTGATCACATGGGGATGATGCCCTAGCGCCGCGCATATTCGTCTGAAAAGCGCAAAGCGGGTACAAGGCTGGAGGGGGTGTCGAATTCAAAACGCAGCTCTCCCCTCATCGCCGCGCACATTCAGATTGAACGCTTGCAGGAATTGCAAGGATGGAACACAAGTCGTTTTCAAATTCCCACCAGCCATTCAGGGCGTGAGTGGTTCAGACAGTTTCCTCTTCCAACTCCTTCTCCCCCTTCGGGCAGGGGTCTTTCACTGTTCCCTGTGAATGAACACCCCCTCACAAAGACGACCGGCAGCCAACCAGGACCAAAGAGGGCCCGACGACATAGACGACGACACAGACGACGACGGCGACAACGAAAACGACGACCGCCTGGCGCAGCGGCGGCGGCGGGCCTTGCTTCCAGCTGGTAACCTCTGTGCAGGCGGCACCTGTGCATGCGCGCCGGCCGGATGGCAGGGAGAGGAGTCTGAGGGGGTGGAGCGGCTGGCCTGGGAGTGTTGGGCGCCCGAGTTATCCGGGGTAACTCGGGTCCGGGGTAACTCGGGTTTGGATTCCCGAAAAAGGGACCCGAGTTACCCCTGACCCGAGTTACCCCTGATGATTCGGGGCTCTGGACGCCCGAGTTATCCGGGGTAACTCGGGTCCGGGGTAACTCGGGTTTGGATTCCCGAAAAACGAACCCGAGTTATCCCTGACCCGAGTTACCCCTGATGATTCGGGGCTCTGAGTGTGTGTGTGTGGGGGGAGGCGCGACGCGGGTCTCCTGTTCGCGATGTGAGCGGCGAAAAGAGAAGGGCCGTACGCGAGACGGCCTATCGACCTTGCGAGGTGGCTTACGCAGGCCGCCGGCGCGGAGCGCCACATTGGAGACGAGGGCGCCTACGCGCGACCTTACGCGCGAGCATCCCGTGCGCCTATGTCGGCGCAGGCGATCCCGTTTTTCACGCGTCGCTCATGTGGCCGCGGCCCCTGCCCAGGTGAATGTTTCGACATTGGGCGGAAAGGGGGTGAGGGGAGGGGGGGGTCTGGCTCTGGATCCCTGCTTCGCGCGACTGTTTGCAACAGCGCGTCCCGTGGGGGAGACTCCCCCTGCTTGAAGCAGGCACCAAAGACAGACAAGATCTACTCCATTGGAGGAGCGGGGGTGCGAAGGCCCGCGCCGATCGGCAAATCAATGCATAAGAGAACAATCGCCAGGGGCCGGAGAAGTTTTTGCAGATGGGGCGTGCCTCCCTCCCGCCGACTCGGCGCTTTTTATACCTCTCGCCCCCTTTGGGGGGGGGGCGGCCGGCGTGTCGTAGGCTCCTCCTCCTTCTCCTCCTCCTCCTCCTCCTCCTCCTCTCCCTCTCCCTCATTCTCCTTCTCCACCTCCTCCTCCTTCTCCTCCTCCTCCTCCTTCCACTCCCCTCTCCCTCTCCCTCCTCCTCCTCCTCCACCTCCTCCCCCTCCTCCTGCTCCTCCTCTTTCTCCTCCTCCTCCTCCTCTTCCTCTTCCTCCCTCTCCCTCCCACTACTCCTCCTCCACCTCCTCCTCCTGCTTCTGCCTTCGCTCTGGCTCCCCCTCGATCTCCTCCTCGAGGAGGCCAGCGAGGGGGGGAAGTGAGGAGAGAAGGCCTTCGCGAAAGGCGGCGGGACTTCTCAGAAACCCTCGCGCCTCCTGAGAGGTTCTCTGTGCCTCCGTGAAGACATAGAGAAAAAAACGAAAGCTTCGCGAGAAGGCCAGCCCCTTCTGATTCCCCCCCACCACCGCTCGCCGCCGATCCTCCTCCTCCTCCTCCTCCTCGTCCTCCTCCTCCTCCCTCTCCTCCTCCTCCTCCTCCTCATCTCCTCCTCCTCCTCCTCTCCTCTCATCCTCCTCCTCCTCCTCCTCCTCCTCCTCCTCCCTCCCCTCCCCTCCTCCCCCTCCGCCTCTCCTCCTCCTCCTTCTACCCCTCCCCCTCCTTCTCCCTCCCCTCCTCCTCCCCTCTCCTCCTCCTCCTCCTCCTCCTCCTCCTCTCTCCTCCTCCTCCTCCTCCTCCTCCCCCTCTGCGGAAGTTAACCCACTCCCCCGCCCTGGGTGGTTCGTGGTCGCTCGTCCGTCCTGGGCGTCGTCCTCGCTTTTCGTTGTCCCCTCCTCCCCCCTCTGTTAGGCGGGCGCCCTGACGCCCTCGGCATGAATGGACAAAGTGTTCGTACAATCTGATTCGCAACCGTTTGGACTCCGATTCCGCCCTGGTTGATTCACATGGCGGACGAACGAACGTGGCATCGTTTTGCGACAAAGTTTGCGCTTCACGACCGCGCTGCACACTGACAGTCTTGCCCTAGCGATACATTGTTTCAACTGCCCACGCGCCGAATGGCGTATGGCTTCTCGCTCGCGCTCCTCTCCCCTCTCCCCTCTCGGGGAGCTGCGGCACGGCCACTGGTCCAGGGAGCACGTGGCTTCCGCTCCTCGGCCAGAGCGTACAGTCAAGATCTGTTGTAAGGACGCGCTGCAAGGACGCAAGACCCTCGGACGGTCCTCGGACGCCCCAGTTGAAGCGCTTCTAGCGTCTGGCGGCGCACTGCCGGAAAAATCTAAGGACGCAAGGGTGGCCTTGGGAAGTTGACCCGTCCTTACTATGGAGTTTCACTGTAGTCTCTCCCACCCACCCCCCACCCTGATCACTGGATTCTGGAAATTTCCAGTCGCGACCGGCGAGATCGGTCGCCATCGATTTTGCTTCAGATTTCGGCATCGGTCGCGACCGAGTTGCTTCAAAGACGGTCGCGACCGATCTGTAGCGACCGGTCGGTCGCGATCGGTGGCGACCGGTCGCAACCGATGTTTGGATCGGTTTGGATCGGTCGCGACCGATTTGGAGTGCCGATCGGCCGCTATCGATCGCGACCGAAAAATCGGTATCCAATGATCTGGGCATCCCTCCCACGGTTTCTGGAGTTGCTGAGAGTGTCATGTCCTCGAGGTCTCAGGTTCAAGCCCTGACAGCTGGCTCGCCAGGTTTTGCCAGCGCCAGGAACTTCGGGAGCCACCACATTCCAAGACTTCCAGCATGGGGGAAGCGGGTCCCGAGGGAAACGGGTCCTGGACCCGGGGGGCCTTCCCCGAAGAAGAGATAGATCTTCATCCCGAGTCGTTCTCTGACAGTCCTGTGGCCTGCGGAGGGCCCCGAGAACCCACAACCTCAGGTGCCGTTCCCCCCGTGGCGAGCCTTGCAGGACAGCACGCCCCCTCGAAGAGGTCCTCCGTAGCGCGGCTCTCCCGCCCGGCGCACCTGCGTTCAAGAACAGTCCCTGGACCTCCCCAGGGATCCATCCCAGGGCTCGAGCTAAACAGTGTTTTCGCTCTCGTTTTTTGCTGTCGCCGTCCCTCGTTCTGCCTTCGTGTCGCCCTTGCTGCGAAACGAAAAATCAAACACGAAAACAGACCACGAGATCGACAAATCAGCGTTGAGCTCGAGCCCTGACATGAATCGGATCGGCGGAAATCGGCAGCCGAGTCGGGACAAGTCGAATCGGCGGACATTGGCAGGCTAGTATGCCTCCAATGAGAAATCGGAGCCCGATTCGGAATCACAGTGGAATCGAATCGTAGTCGGAAGCCATCGAAGTCGAAGCGTATCGAATCGGAGGACCTGAAACGAGCCTTGGGATCTCAAGACGGATCCAGCCGTCGCGACGAGAAGCCTCCAAACGAGGCCTACGAAAGGGGCGAACAGAAACCGCCTGGGAGGGCCGCCGCTGTCCCGGCTGGCCCTCTCCTCCGTATAGACGCCCGGCCTCGAGCCCTGGGGGATCTTCGTTGGCGGCGCGCACGAGGAGGGCAGGGATGGAGCAGAACCGAGGGTCAGAGAGCGCCTTCCTCTGCAGGCCCACCAAAAAGGGGGCGCCAAGGTGGTCAAACGCCTCGCCGGTCAAGCCGACGAAGATGTACAGCATCCAGCCATTGGCTTATGTCCAAAGCTTTGGCTTGACGCCGGGTGTGGTGCATCAATATTTCAGCTTGACCGAACAGGTTGGTTGCGACCCTTGACGTCTGCTTGGGGTGTTCTGCAGCTCTGACCCCCCCAGCCCTTCTCAAGGGAGAGAGGGGAAAAGCTTCTCAGAAAGAGGCTGCTTCTTGGAGGGCGCTGGCCGTACATATGTAGAGAGGGCCCGCGCGTTCCAAGAAGCAGGAATGCTTCTGGGAAAGCCTTCCCCACTCCCCGTAGCCCGTGCCATCGCTCGGGACGTCCAGTCCACTCCCCGTGCATTTTTCGGTTTTGAGCGTTTGTGTTTGAGATCGCAAGATGCTCCAGGATGCCCGTCGACGGTCCCCGGTCAGAACCATGCACACGTCCGAGCGGTGCCCCCCTTTACGCGTGGCCGATTTGGGTCTCCCTGGCTCCTGGCCCCCGTTTCTCCCCCTCGGCCGGTGAACTAACCAGCGCTCCCTCGCGTAGCAGACTCTCCGCGGAAGGGGGGGGGGAACCGTGGCAGCTTCGCCCCCCTGCCCGCCCCATGGGACAAGAGGCCTCCCAAATGACCGACGATCAAGAACGGGTCTTGCGCGAGATGACACAGCGACCTTGCGTGGCGGCTTACGCGGGCCGCCAGCGCGGTACGCTACAGTGGAAACGAGGGCGCTTACGCGCGAGCTGACGCAGGCAACTTGCGCGCCAACGTCGGTGAAAACGAACCCGTTTTCTCCCGCTGCTCAAATGGATCCGAGGAGATGGGGCCGGAAAATCGCTTACATTCGCCGATGGCATCGGCGATGCACCGGTGATGCATCCGCGGCGTCGGCGGTGCATCGGCGACGTCGGCATGGAGAATATCGGGGTCCACATCGAGATGCATCGGACATGCAGAGCGATCCTCCGACGTCACTCGCTCGGACGCAAGCGTTGCCCCCACCCTGTCGCGGGACGCGTCGGGGGTAAGCGGACAGTGGGAACCGCTGCCCCCGACGGTCCCCGCGGGCAGGTGCCTCCTCCTCCTCCTCCTCCTCCTCCTCCTCCTTCTCCCCCTCCTCCTCCTCCTCATCCTCCTCCCCCTCCTCCTCCTCTTCCTCCTCCTCCGCCTCCTCCTCCTCCTCACCGTAGCTGTTTTGACTCAAGAAGCCGTTTTGGCGGAAGTTTCTTCGGCGTGCTGTCGCCGACCATTTTGGTGCGGCTCCCTTTTGAAGACGGCTCGCCCACGATGGTTGGCATGCACAAGTCCCGCGGCGGCAGCGACGGCAATGCTCGTGGTGGCCCTCGTTGGACGTGCCGCCTGTGCGGGTGTAAAAGGAGCGAGTCCAACTTCAGCGACTGCAAGCACTGCAAGAAGTGGTGGGATGCCCCAGCAGATGGTCAGCCAGCAGCAGCAGGGGAAAAGTCTCGTGGTGACCCAGCTGCCCTTCGCCGTGAAGCGGCTGGTTTTGCAGCGGGTCAATCCACCACCCCATCCATGGCTAGCCAGTCCAC